GGGAGCAAGAAAAGGAGCATTCCCTGCAACAACCTCCTCTCCTCTTCACCAAACCCTTCGGCAAAGATATAAATAGCCTTCTCTCCTTCCACCACTTCACAGTTACCCCCTTGTGGCAAAAAGGTATTCCTATCACCATGTCTTTGTAACTCTTGGCTGGTTCAACTAGCAAGATCCCATATTCTTTCTGATAATAATTCCTTACAGTTTTGATTGATTTCACTCTTCTCTGGATCCAAAGAGGTTTTGAAACTCAATTCACATTACAATTCCTTTGGACAATCATTGTGGATGTATACTATCTTATTGCCTTGTGAGCCTCACTGGTACCAACTCTAGCCAGTTGACATTTGGACCTTACAAAATGAAGACTAATTTTTCTAGACAAGACATCCTTTACAAAATTCCTATCAACTTCAATGTGCTTGACATGTTGAATTGGATAATAACCTATGTTTGAATTGGTTAACATAGGTACAACTATAGTTCACAAATTTGATATCAATGGATATTTTGCCATGCCGAGATGATATTTTGCTAATTTCACTAAGAATTTTGGAAAATTTAAGAGCCAAGGAAATTGTCTAAAAACATGGAATTAGTTAACAAACCTTCAAGGAATACAGAATATTAGGAGACTTGTAGGTATATTTCTTTTTTGTAAATAAAAAAGGAAAATTTTAATAAAGAAAAATGAAGTTTACAGAAGGTAATAAGATATATCCAATGATCAAAAAAGGAAATGCCTGAAGACCCAAGTACCAAACCCTCCAAACCCTTTAGAATACAATCTTTTTTTCCTTCCCGACCCTTAAAGCACTAAATCACCTCGTTGCCAAGACCCAAAATCTTCAGATAACCGCAAGTGTTTTTCGACCTAAACCTAGCCCTCACACCACCCAGCCATTAAATAGGTGTATTTCTTTTTTTTTATGATAAACAACGAAAATATATTAAAAAAGAAAAACAAATGCAACCTAAAGAGGTGCTGAGACAGCACCTCCATCCAAACTAAGGAGAGGCTAGGCACCCAAAGCCCAATACTCCCCTGAACATCTTACCACCCCAAATTAGAATGCAAAAACCCAAATCTGGAATCTTTCTCTTGAGAGAATCGAACTGAACCCGAGCACCATTTCGAAGCTGCCCAAGGAACACCAGCCTTCTCCGTTCACCTGTGACAATTCCAACATTCCCCTCACTCTTCATCAGCAATGTCTCAAGCCTCCCTGCCATCTTCCTCCCATTGCTCACCCCCTTCCCCAATTACTTTCCACTTGTTATTTTCCTGCCTTCTATTTCGTTCCAAGTGTTCGATTTATCTGTCTGTCTACTAGTTGGTCAATGCCCACTTTACCTTTCTCAGAACTATTTTCCGTGAGGATTCCTTCAGCTTTATTCCCCTCTATCTCCCTCTCCCCTTCACTTCTTTCCTCTCTAGACTTATCCTGGACTTCAGTTTCCAAAGAATTTTTTGACATCCCATTTCTCGCAGTCTCCCCCCCCTAAATCAGAAATCTTCTCATTCACAACTTTCTTCCCGATGTCTTTCTCTTCCTCAAAATTCCTTCCAGAGGACTTTATAATATTCATATCTTCCTTCTCCCCTACTGATGCTTTGTCAATTTGAAAATTTGAAATTCTGCCCTGAGCTTTCCTGTCTGATTCAGCCTCTAAACAGTTTGCATTTCCTGTCTTTCAAACAATTCGAAACTCTAGATTTAGCTTTAGTTCCTTTCCTCTTGTAGATTCTCTTGAATCAAAACAAGGACTGTCACTGACCAATCCTTCCTTGAGACGATGAAAAACCTTAGTTACATGAACAAGCTGACCATTGTTGGATCCTTTTAATCTTCTCAGCTCCCCTGCATTGGGATTCTCGGAATTAAACAGCTTCGCCACTTTCCTACAAAGACCGAAGTTGTCAAACTTGCCTCTTTAGACTCTTCGCGTCCCTTGACTCACTAACCACGTCCTGGTTCAGAATCTGCTAAAATCAAAGGAGATAGTCTTATTCTCCAAGGCGATGAAACACATATCCTCTCTAGTATTTTCTTCCTTACCAGAATTTTCTTCCATTTCAATTCTTTCCGACATTCCATCACAAGACTCAACCCCTTCTGCCAACATCTTTCTTGCTATGAACAGTTAAGTCCTCGACAATAGCTCTTTCTTGTGAATCGCCTCCTTCAGTACCCCATGGTAAAGCTTGGGGAACTTTCTTCTCTGAACATGCTTCAACCTTCTAACCATTAGATACTGAAGGAGAAAACACTTCAGATTGAAGAAAGGTATATAATGACGAGAAGGTAGATAAAAGACTAAAAGAGAGATAGAGAGAATACACCTATTTAAGACTATCTCCTTTCAAGAGATCTAAGGGATACATGTAGTAGGAGACAAATATACCCTTCTTCAATCTTGCTACTTCAACGGCCAAGAAGAAAACACTTAAGTTCCCCAACTTTTTGATTTCAAACGTTGATGCCAAAAGCCTTTTTAATATCTCAATCTTAATAGGGTCATTTCCATAACCACTATGTCAAACAATCAACGCATCACGGAACCACTCCAAAACCTTTTTCCAATTGAGACCATTGAATAAAGTTAAATGTTGATGTTTTGGACTTGATTCAGAAATTGATGATGTTTTGGACTTGATTCATATCCTTAATGGGATTTACTTGGATTCCTCTAAACCTGACAGTTGTATTTGGACCCTTTCCTCCTTGGGTATTTTCCTGTGCCTCTTTCTTTAGGGCCATGATCCAACCTTTTGACTCTTTGGGGATACCTTTCCCGGTTAAGGAGGTCTGGGGTAATTCCATACCTCCAAGAATTGAAGGTTTTTGTTGGGAAGTCTTCCTGGAAATAGTTAATACTTGTGACTTGCTCCAAAGGAAAAAGGATTAATTGGTGTTTATCCCCACACTGGTGTGTTTTGTGTAAGGCTAATGGAGAAACTTGCTTTCATTTATTAATTTCCTGCCCGCTTGCATCCTTTGTTTGGGAATGTCTTTTTTCATTGTAAGGATGCAGGTGGTCTCCCCTGGCTAATGTGCAAAGCTTATTTGCCTCTACTTTCTTGAGATGGCCAAAGAAAAGGGGACGAGTATTATGGAGATGTAAGGGTGGCTGTGAGCTGGACTTTATGAGAAGAAAGAAATGCAAGATCATTCCTAGACAAGGAAAGAAATAGAGAAGCTTTCATTGATATTATTATGGTGAGAGTGGTTCATTGGGTAAACTCTATGAAGATTTTTGCTGATTTCTCAACAGATGATATCATGAACAAATGGAAGGGAGTGGCTAGTTCTGATTGCCACTATCCTATCATAAAGCCTGCTTGGTCTCTTCCAATGTTTGATTACGTCAAGTTGAATTTTGATGGAAGTAGTGCTGGGAATCCAGGCCCATCTGGTATTGGAGGGGTGTTTAGGGACAGTGAAGGCAAGATCATTGGTCTTTATTCAGGCCCAATTGGAATAGGTGACTCCCTAAGGGCTGAGGTTATGGCGGTTATGGAAGGTCTGCAAAAGGCAAAAGATCTGAATGTCACAAAGCCGATTGTAGAAGGTGATTCAAAACTGGTTTTGGAATGGTTGCAAAAGGATGATAAAGGATTTTGGATCTTTAATAATGAAAAAAAGAGATTCAAGATATGGAAGTGCAGTTCAGTTGGGTTAAAAGGGCAGTAAGTGGTTTTGATGATGTTTTAGCAAAACAAGGAGTGGGGAGGAATCAGTTGTTTTGGGCTCAGCTGTAACATGTTTTTGTTTGTGGAGAGTTAAGATAGTTTACCTCTCCCTATCTTGTAATTCTTAATATTTCTAATGAAATTCTGTTATTGATAAAAAAAAAAGTTAAATGTTGCGACTATCATGATACCCACTCATCCTTCTTGTCTCAAAACCAAAGGCCATCAATGTTTCAGTCAAGTGCTGCTCCTGTAAAGCACAACCTACAGTCAAATCTTTCAAAATGCATCTAAACCACCACAAACAAGTCTGTCACAGACAAAGAAGTTAGCACTCACCACTGGATGATTAAGGCTGAAAAGTATGTCACCCTTTCAGACACCACCCCAATACTTTTCAATGGACAAATATATATAAGAAAAAGAGCAAATTTATTAAATTTCAAGATGGATGTGAAAAAACAGGCCTCGAACAGTTGAACCTTTATATTGTCCAGAATAGCATAAACAGTTGTGACCATAGCACCTAGATCTGTGATCAAAACTATGATCAGCCTTTATGGTCTGATAATACTCTTTTGAGTAAAAATTGGCCATGCATTCCAATGGAGAAAGTATATATTGAACGATATCAAGGAAAACTCCTTGACTGAACAGTCAAATAAAACCAAGTAAAGAAGCTGATACAAAATCACTCAACTGATTAAGTTGATTTTCCCTTACTTCAATTGACTATCAACAGACTACTACAAATGCAGTTGGTTGTTGTTCTAGGCCCAGAATCCAAGCCCAAATCACTGTTAAATCCTTGTCCTGATCCTACTCAGTTATCATGTCAGAACTAAACAAGATGTATGCTGAAACCCAAGAACACAAAATGCAAAGAGAGTTCAAAAGATTGGTCTTGGAACCAGTCCTAAAAGATATTTCTATTTTATGTTTAAGATATATACATTATGCAAAGACCAATCTGCCCCTATGAGCTAAATAAAATGCATGTACATATAGGATTTTATGTACTCGCATATGGTAACACTACACAAAAGGATATAAAATTATTATAACTGTTTTATCTCTTCCTCACAAACATTACAATCATTTTCCTGTTCACATCCAAAATAATTAATCATATGATATTGTTTCTTTTAGCACTTTTTTATCAGCTAGTAATATAATTTATTTGTTCATTTATGGATGCTTGATCTATCTTACATTATCTACATTTCTTGTTCTTTTTATTTTTCTCTGTGCATTTAGCAAGTGATGGTTGATTTTCTCTTTTCTCCCTTTCCACCATCTCCAGTACATTGAAGAGACAGAAGAATTTGCAATGAATGGTTTAAAGCAGAACAGGCATATCTTGGATATGATTGCCAGGGAACTTGTAGAAAAATCAAGGATAACTGGATTGGTAATGCATGACCATTATTTTTTCTCATTCTTTTTTTCCAGTAAAAGAAATCTGAAGCTGATTTTTTGGAAGAGATCATGTTAGTCCTTGTTTAGCATAGCATTCTTAGGTTGATCGATATCTATTTAACAAGTTCCATGCAAGTAAGGTTGTAACCGGATAGGATTTGGATCAGATCTACCTATATTTGAATCCGATCCTATTAACATTTGCATTTGAATCTAATTTTACCCATCAGATTATGTTCAGACTTGGATCAGATTTGGATATTAAATATGATTATTAAATTAAATTAATATGTTTATTAATAAAATGAATTAAAAATAACTTAAATCAGACTTAAACTTGTGAGCCTATCATGAACATATGATGTTTAAACCATTTTTATCAATAAATGTGTTAACTTTTTACAGACAAATGTATATACATACTAATATTATAGATGGATTTCTTTGTCCTTGATTGGATACTTACTTTGCAACTTCATGGATACTTACTTTGTCCATTCAATTAAGTCTTAATCAAATGATATCTTGATTGGATACTTACTTTGCAACTTTATGGAATTACCTTTTTTTTTTTTGAGAAAAGGCAAAGTATCATTATATACTTTATGATTGGAATATCACACGATTTCCTTTAACTATGTTATGTTGCCTCTTTTTCTAGGAAGTAGAGGAAAGGATGAAGGAAATGTCTCCAACAATGTTCGAGGATTTTGTACAACCATTCCAGATAAATTTAGAAGAGGTTTTCTATTTATCCTTATATTTCTTTTCTATCTTTTAGTTGCTTAAGAACTAATAACAATTGTTGGTATTAATAAAGCAAAGGGAGAATGGTAGTAGATGATAGAGCCATAAAGGAGCCAAATTTTACCCAACTGAGAATGCATCAATCACTCAAGGATCATGATCAGGCTTGGTTCAAGTTCATTCTGAACCTGACTGCCTGAGATTGGTTCACTACAATATTGACAAGCTTGGCTCAGCTCGGCAAGTTATTGTATTGATGTCTATGGTTTTCTGATGAAAAACTAGGAATGAAACAAGCAAGCTGTGAACATAAATAGATATTTGGTAAGAAAAATGTATTAGAAAGGAAACCTTGTGAAATCTACTTTTTCGTGTACCTTGGACAAATACTAGAAAGAAGCAGTCAATTCCAAGATCCAATTAAAGTTTCGAATTCCAGCTGCAACCAAGTTCAATTTTCATGAATTCATTTTTCCAGAGGAAAGATAATGTGCATTGTTTCAACAACATTGAGGTATCAAACTACATTTTGTTCATCTATGAGGCATGCTGGCAAGTTGAGAGTAAGCAATACCTTCTCAATGAGTAAAAATAGATCGATTGAAAATTTCTCTACTTTTAAATCTTTGTTTCCTTTGTTCTCAGAAATGGTGGTTCACTTTAGTGTTGTGAAACCATCATTGAGAGCACAAAAAGAAGTGTTAAATTGATAGAAAGATGGCATAATGATGTTTGTACAATCAAATTTGTCAGTAACTAGCAATTAAATTTGTCAGTCTAGTAAATAGCCTTTATAAGATCATCACTAATGTGCTGTCCTTTAGAATTAGGAAGGTGCTCCCAACTATCATAGCAAACAATCAGGGAGCTTTTGTGAAGGGAAGGCAAATAACAGATCAAATATTTGTAGCAAATGAGAGTCTAGAGGATTATAAGAGATCCAGAGAAGAGGTGTGGTCTATAAATTAGATCTGGAAAAGGCTTATGACTTGGTTGATTGGTCCTTCCTATTGGAGGTGATGATTAACTTTGGGTTTGGAGATATCTGGTGCAAATAGGTGATGGGTTGCATTAGGGATTGTCATTATTCCATTTTAGTGAACGGGACAGTGATGGACTCTTTCCCAGCTTTAAGGGGGATTAGACAAGGAGACCCCCTATCCCCTTTCTTGTTTACATTGGTTGCAGAAGTGTTGGGGGGACTAATATCCAAAGCAAATTCTAGGGAGTTAATAAGAGGGTGGAGAATTGGAAGAGATAATATACCACTTACACACCTACAATTTGCAGACGACACAATTCTGTTTTGTGGAGGGGATATCAATTGGATTAGAAACTTGAAGCTCACTATACAACTTTTTGAGCAAATGTCAAACCTTAGGGTGAACTTTAAGAAAAGATGTATAGTTGGAGTCAATATGGGGGAAGGGGAGATTGGTGAGTATGCAGACATTTTGGGGTGTGAAGTTTCTAATTGGCCCTTAAATTACCTTGGTTTACCTCTGGGGGATAATCCTTAGAAGGGTGATTTTTGGGCCCCTGTTGTGGAGAGGTTTGAAAAGAGACTTGCCAACAGGAAGAAAAACTATTTTTCTCTTGGAGGGAGAATCACCTTAATTAGGTCTACTTTGGCTAACCTTCTTGTCTATTTTTTGTCAGTCTTTAAGATTTCGGCTAAGGTGGCTAGTAGGCTGGAAAAACTAATAAGAGATTTTCTTTAGGAGCCGGGGGAGGAGAAGAAGGATCATTAGGGTCAGGTGGGAAGTGGTATGTAGGGGTAAAAAGGAGGGAGGTTTGGGAATTAGGAACATTAGGACTAGGAACTTAGCATTACTAGGGAAATGGCTGTGGAGATTCTCATTGGAGAAAGAATGACTATGGGTTATAAGATAGTGGGAAGTATACATGGGCTGGCAGACAATGGATGGGACTCTGGGATTCTAGCTAGGACTACAAGAGCTTCTCCTTAGAAAGCTATTCAAGCATCTTGCCCTTATTTTCTCCATGAATCAGGTACGACTTGCACTCAGGTAACGTCATTAAGTTTTGGGAACATGTTTGGGTTGGGGATTCCTCTTTGAAAGATCAATTTCCAGGCCTCTTTGCTATTTCTACCCTTAAAAATGAACCAGTCTCCTCCTTTCTTGTTCCTTCTAATTCACCTTTTGGGTTTGGATGGAATTTGAGCTTGAGAAGAGATGTCAGGGACACAAAGTTAGCTTGTACTTTAGCCTTACTATCCATTCTTGAAGGGGTCGTCAATCTTCATTGAGCCATCAAAGACAGATAGCAGAATATGGACACTCACTCCCTCGGGTTCCTACACTTGTGCCTCTTTCTTTAAAGCTTTGTTACCCTCTCCTCTTGTTGGATCGTCTTTCCTTGTTAAAGAAGTGTGGTGTTGACCTATACCTCCAAAGGTTGGGAGTTTCTGTTGGGAAGCTTTTCTGGAAAGAGTTAATACAGGGGATCTACTCCAAAGAAAAAGACCCAACAGTTGTTTGTCTCCTCACCGGTGTGTTCTATGTAAATCCAATGGTGAGTCTGTATACCATTTACTAATTTCTTGTCAGTTTGTTAAAGTTATTTGGGAATGGTTTACTTCTCTATTTGGGTGCAAGTGGACTCCCCCTTTGAATGTGCAAAGATTATTTACATCCATGCCTAACTGGCCAACCAAAAGGGCCAAGATCATGTGGAGATGTGGTAGGGCTGCGGTATGTTGGACTGTTTGGGAGGAGAGAAACTCAAAGATATTCTCAAAGAAGGAGAGAAGTTTGGAAGAAATCCTAGAGACTATCCACATTAGGATGATACATTGGTTGAGAACATTGGAATTGTTTAAAGTGTTTTCTCAGTTGATGAGATGATAAGAAGCTGGAAGGAGATTGCAGATTCAGGCTCAAGTAAGAAGACCTTAAACTCTTGCTGGACACCTCGACCTCATGGGTTTACCAAACTGAATTTCAGCGGTAGCAGCATAGGCAATCCAGGGCCTTCCGGAGTAGGGGGAGTGATGAGGGATGAAAAGGGGAATTTGTTAGCCATGTACCCTAGTTCGATTGGGGTGGGAGACTCCTTGAGGGCTGAGATTCTAGGAGCTATTGAAGGGATACAAAGGGTCAAGGAAATGAATATTAAAAAGTTGATTATAGAAGGTGGTTCTGAAATTGTGGTGAATTGGCTAAAAGAGGATAGTTCTATGCTCTGGAAATACAACAATGAAAAGAGGAAGTTCAAGTGGCTCACCAAGGACATGGAAATTCATTGTACATGGATAAAGAGAAGTGCAAATGCATTGGCAGATGGTCTAGCTAGGCAAGGGGTAAACAGAAACACTATATTTTGGGCTGTTTTGTAATTGCCTCATGGTCAGGATGTACTTTGGGTAGTTGGGAGTTAAGATTCTTTAGCTCCTTCCCTTGTAATTCTGATTCTCTTGATCATTAATAAAATTTCATTGTTATTGATCAAAAAAAAACTAGCAATTAAAGAATATCAAAGTCGTCAGTTGAACAGGAAAATGCAATCACTTCATATCATTGACTATGGGTAAGAGGTAGATATGGAGGAAATTTGCTTGGTGCAATGATAAAATATCCAGCTGACAAGCATGGGAATGCAGGTTCAAGTCTGAGAATGACCACTCTACCCCTCCCAAGACAACAGTAGTTGCCATCAGCATTGGGTAATGACTTTTTTCTTAGGTAGGTGTGGAGGATCTGATTGAGGTCAGAAACCTTTCAAGTATTAACCATGTGGAGCAAGGTGTTATACAAGGATGGTTGTAGGTGGTTGGAGAGGGAGGTAAAAATTGAGAAGAAACAGATCAATGGTACCAAGGAGACATCTAAAAATAAAAGTGAAAGGAAAAGACTTTTTTGAAATGGATGGGTTGTGTCATTTTGGTTAAGGTCTGTACACTGGCAATTTCCAGAGGTGTAGGGGGTCACATTTTTTTGGTTTTTCTTATTAGAGCTTTTCAGTTATGGAATGGGTCCTCCTTCAGTTGACACTAGGTTAATTGATGGGTCTAAGCTTGGGGTATTTTTAGCAGCAATTGTATAGTTTGGGGTTTGGTCCTTGCCTTATTATTATGATTCAGGGTTCTTATCTTTGTGCTCCTTGTATACACACTCTCCTTTTTTATTTTCAAGTTTTTAACAAATTCTTTTTCCTATCAAAAAAATCATTAATTACAAGAACAAGACCCTTATATTGTAACATATGGCACAGTGAAGAAGAGAGATCTTGACAATGCTATTCATTGATCCATAGAAAGCATATGATAAATTACCCAGTTAGATTATGTAGCATAGTTCAGAAAAGAACGAATCCCTAAATGGGTATATTCAGCTAATTAAGGATATGCATGATTGTGTAATGATCAATGTTAGAAAACCTGCCAAAGAAGTATCAAAGTTTACAGTTACTTGATCTTTCATCAGGGGTTATCCCTTACTCCATATTTTACACTAATTGTGGATGAACTAACCAAGCATGTGAAGGATGAGGTTCCATGATGTATGTAATTTACTGATGATATATAGTAGTTATTGAGGAGTCTAGAGTAGGAACCCAAGACCTCTTATGAAACTTCAAAATGGTAATGGCATCTCTAGAATGGGAACCCAAGACCTCTTAAGTGGACCTGCGTTTTAAGTAAGAGGTCCCCAATCCCAACTGGCCAGTTAGGAGATAAAACCACTCGGATTTATAAAATTGGTGAGCTAGTCCCAGTTTTATAAAACCACTCAGGTCACCACATGAGTAGAAACTTCAAAATGGTAATGGCAAGACTTGAACCCAAGACCTCTTACTTGTTTTCAAAATGTATTGCCTTGTTACCATTAATCTTTCTCTTTATTTGTTTCCATTTATGCAACTTTAATGTATTTTTTGCTTTAATACACACGTAGATCCACCTGCAATAATAATATTTGTAAAATATGTTATAGTTGTAGATCCACCTGCAATAATCGGAAATAAAGAAAAGAAAAACAGAAAAGAAGAAGATTGAAGAAAGAGAAGGAAGAAGAGAGAGTAGTTCGATCCTCTCTTCAGCCCCCAATAATATCTTTTATTCTTTAGTTGTAATAATGAGGACAATTACATGAGTACCCTTAGTAGGGTGGCCAGCACTGAAGACTAATAAAAAAGAGAAAAAAGGCCCACTACTTACAAATATTAGGCATAAACATAACTTAAAGAAAATAAAGAAACTAAGGCCCATTCGGCCCATCATCTCTACAGTTATATATAGTTTTTATGTGACCCGTATATATGTATATATGTTATATTTTCATGGTTTGACCTCCAGCTCAACCATGGTTGAACCTATGACCCGTGAACCTCTCCCTTTTCCAGTTCTATGCCTGGTCTGGTTCTCTGCACATTGTCAAATACTCCTATTTTTGAATTTGGCCCCTTTCTATTGTGAGGGCAAAAAATGTGATTCGAACTGCTACATTTCAGTTCATCCTACTTGTTAGCATAGGGGTATTTCTGTCTTTATACCTTGATTGATGTTGCTGATCTGTAATGTTGTGTTGAAACTTGTGCTCTTAACTTAAGTAAGGGCACATTGGTCTTTTCAGCTATGTTTTAATAATAATATAAATACTTATTGGCCGACTAGGAGAAGTCAAGTTGACTCCTTCAGTTCGAACCAGAATTCTCTCTCCTCTCTTTCTCTCTCTCTTTCTTTATCACTTTTTCTTCTTCTACATAACTGAACTCAGTCAGGCCGAACTCTAAGGCAGACCTGAATTATAACACTACTCTCTCATTAACTTCTATGTCTGAGGTATTACTCCCATTCTCTCTCATTAACTCTTGTTTTTAGCCCTTTTCTCTTACCACTAAATTCCATCTATACCCCATAATTTTAATGGTATAAAAACCAATGATATTAAACTGGCCCGGAAACAAAACCATTTTTTAGTCCAGGTGGCAAACATCCAAGTCAAAATGGGTCAACACATGATGTCACAATTAAGTTATAAAAATTAAAAATAGATAACATACAAAAAATGTAGAAAATTAGAAAACTCTAGAAGAATTTTGCACAAATATCTAATATTATATATTAATCATTGTTAAACAAAGAATAACTGTTCCAAATAACAATTACTTTTGTTAATGTTGGAAATGGAATAGAAGAAAATCAGAAAAGAGAATTAATATCTAACTCATAACCCCATTGGTCGAGTTAAATGGTTCAATGGTTCAACCGGTTGGATCACTAGGTCAATGGCCAAGTCAATGGTTTTTTGTAGGCAAGTAATTTAGTGGTGAAATGGACCCAAAATCCTGACTGGTTTATAGGTAACTTATTTGATAGGCCAATTTGGCTGCAAGTTGAAAACACTCAGAAAAAACAATCTTTTAAAAACTGATCAGAATGGCTTTTCCCACCAGGTGGAGGGTTAGCAGTTCAACTGTATGGGTCAAATAAGTCAACCTATGGTGTCATAAATTAAATAATAAAATAGAAAATTATAGAAAACTATAAAAATAGAAAATCTGGACATGTCTCTAATATTATATACTTATCAATATTAAACAAAAATAGTATGATTTTATCATTTAATGATGGAAATGGCTAAAAATACATAAAGAGAAAAAGAGAACTAATGCCAAACCAGTGACCTATTAACCAGGTCAAATGGGTTAGTAGTTTGACCCATCAAGTTATCTGGAAACTGTCCAATTCAACTGCAGGTTGAAAACATATAAAGCTTAAGCAGGGAGATTTGAACTTGAATTTGTAAGTTGAAAGGCAATAAATCCACCACTACACTATGCTTCTTCAATTGCTTGTCTTTGTAACATGCTTCAATACCGCACATGCACATCTACTAGTAGTGGAACTATGGACACGGCCATTGATAGTGTAATGGCAAAAGAGGTTTACATCTATGACCTCATCATATAGTTTGGAAATGGCTTTGTTGAGTTTAGTGCAATTGATGATCAAACTTGAAAATTGCATTTGTAACTGATGTAAGAATGATTGGCATCATGAACTTCTGCATTCTCAGCCCTTTTTCTATAGTTTTACCAGCATACAGATATGAATATCAACAAAACACATCATGCATAATATAATAACGAGCCATCATGTTTGATTTAAAGAGATTAATTTTAAGGCTCAAGCTCATCTTACAAACTTCAAATCCTAGCTCAGGCTTGGATCAAGCTACTCAATACCTCATTTGCAACCATAGAGGATAAGAGGGTATAAGCTAGGGTTTAGCTGTTGATGTATTAATGCTTTAACAAGATGAAAATGAGTAACTTTTAGGGCCTTATTTATCATCATCATCAGCTTTATCCCAACTATATGGCAGTTGGCTACGTGAATTCTGTTTCACTATTCCATTTTGTTTAATGCCATATCCATTGTTAAATTATGAACACTTAAATCATTTCTTACTACTTCCTTTTTGGTCTGCTCCTAGCTCTTCTAGCCCCTTCAACTTGTAACAAATCACTTCTTACAGGTGTTATAGGTCATCTTCTATGACTCTGACCAAACCATCTTTGTCTACTTCATTTCTGACCCTATCCTTTCTAGTTTTTCCACTCATCCATCTCAGCATGTGCATTTTTGCTACACTCATTTTTGGGCAGTTGTTTCTTAACTGCCCAAAACTCTGCTCCATACAGTATAGCTGGACTTATAACTGTTTTATATAACTTTCCTTTTAATCTAAGTGGTATTTTCCTATTACATAAGACTCCAGGTGCACCCCTTCATTTTGCCCATTCTACTAGTCTATGGACAACATCCTCCTTAGTCTCTCTCCCTTGGCATGAATTATTGAACCAAGGTACTGGAAAAGGTTACATTGAGTTATCTCTTGGTCTCCAATCCTAATTGTACCCTGATTTCCACTCCTACTATTATTAAATTTACATAGCATATGTTATGTTTTAGTCCTACTTATTCTAAAACCTCATGTATCTAAGGTATTTGTCCATACACTTAATTTTGAGTGTAGTGTTTCGTTAACTTCATCAATTATGAGACTTTTTTTTATCAAAAAAAAATTGTTGTTAAGCATTAGAAGGTATAGACAGAAGACACCCTATCAAGCCCTAGAAACAAATCGGTACAAGAAATATGGTTAGCCAACACATGACCAAAACAAGAGAATCAATTTATGATGGGTGGATCCTAATAAAACTCAACCCTCCCAAGCCCACATTCAGCCAAGCCCTCAGCTATGGTTTCATCTAACCTAGAAATCCATCTGGACAAGCCATTCAGAAGCATAGCATCCATCCATTTTCCACCTAAGAGTCCCCATCTGTTTCTACTCTCCACACTCCTAAAAGAAAAAGGAATCTAAGCTCCTAAAGCAGGGCTTTCATCTTTTCATGAATGGACTTTATTTGATGAATTAGTCCTGATTAGATCATGATAACATTGCCTGCACTATCTCTGAAACCTCAATTGTACCAAAGGGGCATGATTCCCAAGGTAGCAATCATCAATTTCATACTTAATATTTCCTTCTTGAGGAGGATAGGAAGGCTACTGTCAAATCTTCTGCCTGTTAACACCTAATCTTGTTATGCGACCCTCTTTTGGAGTAAACCAAAGGGTCTCTGAAATCTTCTCTTGTCAAAACCTAGTGGACCATCCTAATCAGCTGCCCTTCACATTTCAATACACTTTCCTTATCTGAATTTATTATTTCATTATGCAGAAGTCACCTATCAGCAGTTCCCAACAAGGATGGAGGGGACCTAAAAACAGCCATGACAATAAGCAAACTGAACTGTGATTTGAAATCATGTTTTCCAGTATGTACTGAGTCTGGCATTCTACATAGTTAAACCATTAAAAGCCAAAATAGGAAACAAATTAAGATTAGATATAGGAGAGTAATGTAAAATATTTGTCATCCGCCAATTGTGATGCTTGTCTCTGTCTACTTTTCGTAGTCTAGAAGTTACTTATGCTTGTCCCTGTTTGTCTTGGTAAATAAATTGAAAATTTTCATGAAACCTTCAGGATGGACGACTGCCTCATAATGACAGATTGCGCTATCAGCCATTGGATATATATCCTGCACCACTTCACAGGTGTTGAAAATTCAGAAATTTCGTAGCCTTCTCAACTTCCGGGATGTACATCATGACATATCTTCCATTGCCAACAAAAAGAAAAATGGTGATTGTTAGTCTATGACAAAGGAAGTCAGTAGTCACAGGGTAGTCACTGCTGCATTGCCTGAAATTGATACTAAATGAAGCTATAGGAGCACATACTGCAGAGACTTCACCAACTGTGGACAGAGCTAAGGTAGAGATGGCTGTTGTAAATTGGTTGTGCCTGAATTTTCCATTGCCCAGGCATGCTTATGGATTTCTCCACTATAGTCCTTTTTTTCTTTGTGAAATGAGGTTTTCAAATTAGTAGACCCAAAGATTCTGGCTCATTGACTAATTTTAACCATCAAGATTATGTAAAATATTCCAGAAGTTCTTTTTATTATTACAGGTTCCTATTAAAATAAATGGTAAGAGTAGAAATGGTTGGTCCAGCCTGTTTTTTGCAGCTTTAAAGGCAAGAGGTAAGGTGAAAATTATCAACACAATGCACCTACTGATGTGGGGCATATCATATTGGTATCTAAAGGCATGGGTACATTGCACTGGTGAATAGCCTTGTGCCATTGAGGGCCTACTAGGCTACTACTGCTAAAGGTTTCTAATCATCAGCATTGCTGGGTAAGAAGAACAGTAAATGGAATGGCAAACTCTTTGGCCAAGCAAGGGTTAATAGGGAACGACCATTTTTGGGCTGAATTGTAACTGGGATGATATAATCAGGAAGAATCTCAGCTCCTCTGTAATATTTTTTTTTCTTCTAATTAATGCAATCTTCTTTTACTGATCAAAAAAGAAAAAAAAAAAAAGAAAAGTTGTCAGCACTGGTCAACGAATTCCTATTCAACATTCGTCCAACATTTCTTTGACAATTTTTATATGCTATCTCAACAATTTGGACTGCCAACATATATCCAATTATAGCAGTGGTCCAAACACGTTGGATCTATGTATTTTCCCCTAAATATTGAAAATTTTTAAAAACTGTAAAAAAAAGAATTTGGTTTATATGTTTTAAATGGTTTTCATTGCAAGAAAGAACTATAATACGGAATTATCAATGATCTATTAAAGTCATTGTTCTAAGAATAGTTTATATAAAAATGATATTTTTTTCTTAATTTTTCAAGGAAAATCTAAGAAAAAGAAAAGTAATTTGTTTTATATATTTTAAATGATTTTCATGATAAGGAAGAACCATAAGATGGATTTATCAATAATCTATCAAACTTGTTGATCTAATAACAATTTAGTGCATCTTATAATGAGTATATAGTAGATTGGAAGTTCAAACATTGTTTGATATATCATTAGTAGGGGTGCAAGTTGGGTTGGCCTTAGTTTACACTGTTTTGGGCTCGGATTTCAGGTTAGGTCTATTGAAATTTTGACAAAATTTCAACCCTAAACCAGAAAAGTTGCACCCCTAATTATTAGTAAAGTCATTATATAATATCTAGATGTTTTAAACTCCCGCTATTCTTGATTGTAATGCATCTCTTCATATAAACTATTAACGCATGTTATGCTTTATTATCTCAACATTGGATTTAACGTTATTAGTGTATTTGTGGGATCCGTTGCTAGCAAAAGCAAGTTAACACGTTTTTAACAGGGCAAATCCCAACAATCCAACTGGACATCGGGATTTGCTGTGTTTAAAATGAAGAGAAATTTAAGTTAAAAAAAAAAACATTATCACTCGTTAAATCTTAATAAAGTTATAATATCTAAATATACATAATCACTACATATAATTATATATAATCAGATTCTAATTTAACACGGATCTTAATTAGATTCGATGGATTGGATCATTTGTTGGGGTCGGGGTCAAATCTGTATCTAATCCGATTAGGGCTGTTCATAAGAATGCCCAACCCGAGTCGTCTGGGTTTGCATCCATACCGGTCGGTTTCGGGTTGGGCACATACATAAATCGAAATCTCGGGTTGGTTTCGGTTTTTTTGCATGAAAACCCGACCCGACCCAAATCGAACTAGTATTCTACTAGTTTGGTAGTTCCTACTTCCTAGTTTGAGTAGTTTCCTAATTCCTACTAGTCTTCTACTTTTAGAGTTCTACTAGAATTAGAACTCTAGAAGGCCTATTAGGCAATTACAATTAGAATTCAATTAGGTGTCATTTTTTAGTTTTTTACCTAGATTAGAAATTAGAATTTAGAAGGTTTCTAATTTTTTATTTTATTGACCACTTTATCCTTCTCTTAAAATCTTCTATTCTCTAACTTGGTTGGTCCGCCCCCCTCAAGCTCAACTGCTCAAGTCTCATTCTCAAATAATCAGTCTCAATTTCAGTCATTCAAAGGTTAGTATTTATTTATTTATATTTTTTTAATTTAATGCATGTTACAAGTTGATATATTTTATTTGTGTTTTGTTTAAGTTTAAGCTTTGAAAAAAATCCAGTTCATGATGATATATTTGCACAAAAAACTTCAGTTTTGTATGAAAAACCTAATCTATTTAAAATTTTAAGTATATATTTTGGTTTTAATTTAAATATATTTTATATTTAAAACTATTAAATAAAGATATTTCAGTTTAACATAAAAACCGAAATATCTGAAAAAATATATATCTAAAAAATATATATTCTGAAATATATGAGATATATATTTCCAGAAAATATATTTTCCAAATTTCCGAAATATTTTATTTGTATGTATATTTTTGTTTATATATATATATATTTTTTAAAATACGTATTTCAGTTTTAAATATATTTTCAGAAAATATCTTAAAAAATAAAAACTTCAGTTTTCAGTTTTTATGRAAAAMCTAWTCTATTTAAATATATATTTCGGTTTTAATTTAAATATATTTTATATTYAAAACTATTAAATAAAGATATTTCAGTTTTACATAAAAACCGAAATATCTGAAAAAATATATATTCTGAAATATATGAGATATATATTTCCAGAAAATATATATTCCAAATTTCCAATATATTTTATTTGTATGTATATTTTTGTTTAATATATATATTTTTTAAATACATATTTCAGTTTTAAATATATTTCCAGAAAATATCTTAAAAAATAAAACTTCAGTTTTCAGTTTTTATAAAAAAACCTAATCTATTTAAATATATATTTCGGTTTCTTAAATATATTTTATATTTAAAACTATTAAATAAAGATATTTCAGTTTTACATAAAAACCGAAATATATGAAAAACTTTATATCTAAAACATATATATTCTGAAATATATGAGATATATATTTCCAGAAAATATATATTCCAAATTTCCAATATATTTTATTTGTATGTATATTTTTGTTTATATATTTTTAAATACATGTTTCAGTTTTAAATATATTTCCAGAAAATATCTTAAAAAATAAAAACTTCAGTTTTCAGTTTTTATGAAAAACCTAATCTATTTAAATATATATTCGGTTTTAATTTAAATATATTTTATATTTAAAACTGTTAAATAAAGATATTTCGGTTTTGCATAAAAACCGAATTATCTGAAAAAATCTATATCTAAAAAGTACATATTCTGAAATATATCAGCTATATATTTTCAGAAAATATACTTTTAAATATTATAAATAATATGTGTATTTCCGAAATATATATATATATATACTACGTATTTTTATATTATTATATATTTCAGCTATAATTGTTAAATATATTCCAGAAAATATATTCTGAAACTAAAATATAGAAATATATTAAAAATTTAAAAGTTAAGACTGAAATATAGTAATATATATCTGAAATATAGTATATAGATATATATATATATATATATATATATATATATATATATTGATTTTATTCTTTACCTGAATTAAATTTAGATTTATTTTGGACTCTTGAATATCAAATATTCAAATTATCAACTAAATCAGATCTTATTTGGCTTTATACAGGAGCAAAACCGACCCAAACCGACCCAACCCGACTCAAACCGACTAGGTCGGTTTGGCCTATCAGTGGGTCGGTTTCGGTTCCCACCTTAGCTAACCCGACTAGGTCGGGTCGGTTGGGAAAATCCCAATAAACCGACCCAACCCGACCCGTGAACACCCCTAAATCCGATTATTAAACAGAAGAAGTTATAGGATCTGAATGACTGAATCCAAATTAATTGGATTAGATATTGGATAAGCGTTTCAAACAATTGGAGTCCATTGACAGCCTATTAGGCTCAGTTTGAAAGGAGTACGAATACAAATATGTACAGTGCAAATACATATAAAATAGAACAAAATACAAGGTTTTACACTCATATTTGTATTTGTACTCCTTCCAAACTAGCCTAGAACATAGAATACAAAATGTGGGCAGCTTGGATTCCTCTGTTTGCCGGGGCTGCGTTCAATTTACAAGGTCTCTTGAGTCTTGGTTAGGGTTGCCCTACCTCCGTAACACTTCCAGTCTTTCTCTATCCAATTTTCAATATATATATATATATATATAAGTTGGACTCCGTTCATATCAAAATCCATTGATAAGAGATTAGTATACAGGTGTCAATGGATTAGGTTTGAGTTGGAACCAATCCTAAAATTATAACGAATTTTTGAACAGATTGAACAGTCCAGACAATTGAATTCTACTGGTCCAAAATATTCATTGGACCGGATTGGACCACGTCCATTTGTAATAGACTCATTGGACTGGATCAGATTGGACCAAATCCAGTGCAATTGACACCCTTGTGTGTGTATAAACACATTTTATCAATAAATAATATATAATTATAATCTAGATGTAATATATGCATTGTTTTATTTGTAAAAAAATTAAAAATTCCTCGTCCAAAATCATGATCATGACCCGGTCCAGAATCTAAATGTAATATATAATTATAATCTATATGTAATATAATTAAAAATTGACCCAGTCAACAGTCTGACAAAATTCTGGGTTTCACTGAAACCAGGCCCAGAATCATGATCATCACCAGATGATGATTCAAACGGTTCAATTAGCTGGATCAACAGTGGGTTGAAAACAAAAGCCAAGTATTGTGAAGCTCGAACTTGACTAGATTATAGCTCGCAATGGCGGGTTGAAAACACCAAAACTGAGTATTGTGAAGCTCGAACTTGACTCAGATTAACTACTTGGAGTAGCTCGCAAGTTGCAAGTGGACTCAGCTCAGATTAACTACTTGGAGTAGCTCGCAAGTTGCAAGTGGATTCAGATTAACTACTTGGGTTTTAGTGAAACCCAAGTCTGGATTGCCACTCTTCTACTAATCAATTCCCTTAAAAGCAAGGTTCTAAGTATCGACATGGGCCGTGTATCGGTGTTTTTTTTATGTTTTACTTTTTTTTTATATCAATTCAGAGGGGCTGGTTTAAAGCCCGACTACCCTCTGAACCAGTGGCTGACCCGATACAACCCCTGTAATGACTGACCCGATAGGTGTCGATATTTTGAACCTTGCTTAAGAGATAGGCCTTCCAAACCTAATCGACTGATGGAACTTTTATCATTTTATCTATTACGAGTTTGTGAATTATATTTTGATCAAATCTAATTATTATAGGCAAATGAAACCATTTATCACCTTCATCTGCATAAAACGTATCAAGATGTGGAGTTTTTTTTTTTTTAAAGACGTGGAAATTATGGCAGTACAAGCAAACTGAAACATACTTATGTACATCAGAACCAAACCATTTCAACGTGTTCTATTCACACATGATCCATTCCAAGATCGTATTAGCATCTGAGCTGATTTCAGAATTCCAAATGCAGATCAAATACCTTCAATCTTTACTCAGAAGCGTGGAGCAGATGGGCTTCACACACATGAAGCATGCTACACAGATCATTGTCACTCAAGTACTTCTCCAGGTTTGTCAAAACCAAAGGACCATATTTCATAACCATCCTTTTGCACTGCAAAAGCGTAAGAATATAAGAATATTTCATTTCTTGTCAGTTTTAAATAAAAACAGAAGGAAAGGATGCAGTTTTTCTCCTGGACCCAAGTTTTATTAAGGCTCAGTTTGGAAGGTACAAATGCAAATATGTAGAGTGTAAAACCTTATATTTTGTATTATTTTACTTGTATTTGTACTGTACATATTTGCATTTGTACTCCTCCCAAACTGAGCCTAAGGAACAAGGATTCACTCACTTGTTTGACATAACCATCAATATTCTCGCAAGCCTTGAGCAGTGCACGAATGACCTCAATCTGTAAATTACAAACAAGACGACTGAGACAATATGACAAGAAATGAAAAGCTAAAAGTCTATGTAATTCATCTATCCAATCCAAAGTCATTACCTTCTTCTCAGGGTCTTCCAACTCATCATGTATCTCATCCATCGCTTCATGACAAGCAGCACAGCTTCTGTTATTTGATAACTGTAGAAAATATGGCATAGTTAGCTCTCATGGACAATAGAGAGGCTTAGAATATGTATTATGAGGAAATTACCAATCACCTTAAACTTCAAATGAGTAAACTAGGCACATGCTTTTTACTTACAATTTTGAAAAATAGAAGGGTAATTTTCCTTTTCTCATGCCACTTTATGCATATATTGATGTAAATGTCTATACTTTTTAGGTTGGAACTGTTTACATGATATGAATAAGATGTGTAAGGCCATTTAACTGATTAAAAGAAGAAAAGAAAGGTTGTAAGGTCATTCTATATAATCAGGTGAAACCAACCCTAATACAGTGCGATTTCAGCACAGTGTCTCAAAGTAGCAACTCTGAGAGAGGAGAAATCTTAGGTGAGAGGTCCAAGATACATACTTTTAGCCTGCCACCAACCAAAATAAATTGCATTAAAAGGATGCCTTTGTGGAAAATGTGCTACAACAGAATCTTAGTCACCTTCAGAGTGCTCAAATAAATAGTAGGTGAGCAAGCTAAAGAAGACAAGTTAAGAAATGTATCTTGGTCTTCAAGGCTTCTGTTCTTATGAATAACCATAACCCTTCAAAAGGAAAGACTTTCCATGTGAAGAGAGTTAAGATGCTGGAAGTTTCCATTTGGATAGAGGGTGACATGGAAAATGAAGTGGCTATTGCTTAGTGAAATGGTAATATCTCACACTGGAACATCAAAATGCAGGTCCAAATCTGAGAGAAGCCACTTCATGCAAGAAAATGCCAGATCTGGATCTAGTTCACCCCTCTAAAAACTCTGGATAGCCAGGACCAACCTTGTCCAAATCTGTCATGCAGGGGCAGAGCCAAGGGGGGACCCAGGGGAGCCATGCCCCCCCCTATGGTCCAGAAATCTCCACACATAGTACATTTTTCCATGCTAGTTTCTTCCCTCCCCCCACTTTCCACCCAATGGTTGGCCCCCCATATAAAAAATTCCTGTCTCCCCCCTGCTGTCATGTGTAATTTATGTTGCAGAAATGGGATTCTCTTCCTGCTTCTCCAAACAACATACTAGCCTTCAAATAAGACAACAAGATCAACTCTAGTTGGCCCACAACCACAAATAACTCAGACATAGCATAGGGTTCTAGGAAAAATCAAAACCAATTCTTATCCATGTAAATTTTCTTAGGGAAGAAAATGTAAAAAAACAAAAAAATCAAAAATTTTCCTGCACATGGTCAAAAATGTATATCTAACTTAATAAGCACCAACTCACTCCCCAAAGAAAGCAATGGTTAAGATGATAGTTACCTTATCAGTGGACTCATGTGACATAGAAAGACGCTTCACCAGTTTACTCGTCAAATCGTGCATTGGTTCCACTTCAGGTAACTGTTGACCCTTGCCAAGGCTTGCCACCTTAAGTATATCAGAATCTGAAGGGCACAACCCTGTGCTGTTGCAAAGATTTTCTTCACTAAAATACACTTGAAGAAACACAATAGCTTGATTGGTGTACATCTCCAATATCTCATCACACTGCAGTGTTGGCAAAAGGAATTTCCATTAAAAAAATCAATAAATGCTGTTTTCTAAGGTAAAAAAAATCAATAAATGCTGTTGAACCATAAGTTAAGAATTTATGCCAAAGTTCATACCTTTACACGTAAATCAGTAGGCAGAACATGGCAGACCTCATTTCTTAACATGCTAATTTTATCCGGTAACTCTGGATCATTTAATACTTTCTCAACCATTCGGGAAGCTTCCAAACATGAAAAACAGATAAGATCTGATGATAATTCAGTCGAAGGAAGGACTCTGGAAGCTGATACTTCTGAACCCCGAAAGGTGGAGGTAACACCACCCTTGATTGAAATTCCTGCATAAGATGATGGCCACAATCCCATACTTGTTAAGGTCAATTCAGTAAGGTTACAAAATATGTGTACCCCATTGCAAAATAAAAAGCAAGTATAAATACCAATGTGCATTGACTAAAAGCATTGAACAGTCTAATGAAAACTATCCTGTCCATTTTCTCTATTTTTAATTAAATTAGTCCATGGCTCCATGCTATTTAGTTTCCTTCGTAGGTGCACTAAAACAGCAATGAAGGAAAGGATTTTCATTAGCAACAATAAAACTACAAAATCTAACATTTTATTCTGAGCTCAATCAAAAGAAGCTAATACATGGGTAATTTAAGAGATATCATTCTTTTAATTTTAGCTTAAAATGAAAAAGAAGATCACCTTCAGTGGTTCCTAATACACAAACCCATGCAAAAAAAACAGTATATATCAATAGATATGATGAATTTGTTGAAACCGATCTTAAATTCTTTTCCCCATTTTCTTGACATAAACCCTGTTGCCTGGCATACTGTAAGATGAATAGGCCACAGACAATCAACAAAATTGTTATCTACTTTTCTTACCAACATATTGTAACCTCAAAATATTCCTCGCATTCACAATTGTCAACGGCATCAGCAAGGCAAAGAACAACGATACAACTGATGTATTCATCTTGCTCAAATCAATAACCTACAAGTACCAATAAGTTTACAGATCAATCAAAACATATCTAGGAAAAACAAAGAAATACCAAACAAAATGAACTAAAAACAAAATATGATTCAACAAAATAACAAAAAACAATCATTCAAAGTTCTCATTAAAAGCTTCCATAAATACCAGCTTTCATCCATATCTAATAAAAACAGATTTGGTCAACCTTAAAATCACGTAAAACCCAAGATGAAATTCAAACAATATCTCCAAATTCAATTATATAGATTATGAAGAAAAAAAAGAATCAGATTCGCGTTCAAATTTCAAATTAGCAGTTTTTTTTAATCAACGATTACGCGTTCAATCGTATAAATCTCAGCTGAAGTAAACTAACTTGTTCAATTAATAAAACAATGAAAAGTAAGAAAAAAGGGAGTTTAAGGAAAAAACAAACCTACTTCGATTATTACAAAGGAGAAAACCTCTAAGAGTAGGGTTCTAAACTTGTAATTAGAAGAATCAGAGATCAATTATGAGAACGGAAACAGAAACCCTAGTCTTCTGCTTCGGTTTCGCAAGTCAGCTAATCGAATTAATCAAGAAAAGAAAAAGTTTCAACAGAAAAACAAACTGAATTTCTTACCAAAAACAACTCGGCGCAAAAGGGTCGAACAAGAAGTCAATAAGACAAGAAATAACGCTAGAAGGGAAGAGCTTCCGCGAGTAAAAACAGAGAAGGCCGCGATTCAGTCCGTCTCATCTGTCTTCCTTTCTGAAGTCTTAAACTAGCCAACAAACAATCCGTTTCTAGTTTCAACTAAGCGTACCGTACCGTAACTCCTCAAACTTCTTCTTTGATGGCAACGGGGCGGGGCCGGGTTTTCCGTGCCCCTCCCTGACCCGGAACTGAAATGCCCCGAGCCGAATTGGCCCTACCTGGTCCCGTTCATTTCTAGTTCAGCGCCGAAGGTGGGTCAGTGGGTCTAAAATCTCAACCCCATTCCCATCGCGGGAACGAGGACCCTCGAATTTGCCCTACAGGCCCCATTCATTTCTACTTGTGTATTTATCTACTTAAAACTATACAAGTGGGGACCCTCTTAAGCAAAAGCTAAATAATAGAAAGGGTTATTTACTAAAATATTCCCTATTGTTTCATGGATTTATTAAAATCTATCTTATAGTTTGTATTTTACCAAAACACCACTTATAATTTGCAATGAATTTAATCAATCTTCCATTAGATAACAATAGAAAATGACATGTCGACCCTAATATTCATTTAAATAAATTTAATCAAAAGAAAATAAAAAAAAATATCATTTTTGCCCTTAATAAGACACGGGCAACCACTCTATTGGCTATATTTGGTCAATTTTGTTTTCTATACAGAAAAAGTGTTAAGGGTATTTTTGGAATAAAAAATCATGGGCCTAATGGCAAAACAAACACTCCTTAATGAAAAGTTGATTAAGTAAATAAGTTGTAAAATATATGAGATATTTTATTAAAATGAAAACTATAAGGTAGGCTTAAGTAAATTTGTAAAACTATAAGGTGTGTTCTAGTAATGACCCTAATAGAAACACATAAGAGTATACAATTATTTTTATTTTCAACTTTTTTGATAATTAATAATTATGCATATTTTATATACTACTTTTAATAATTTTTTTATAATACAAAAATAACAATAATTAATTTTAGTTAGATTTATTCATCAAACTAATGAAACCGACCAACCTGATCAACTCGACCCAAGTTGGTTGGTTTTCTAATATTTTAGGTCGTCTTTGGTTCAAAAATTTCCCAACTTGACCAAGTTGGACCAGTTTTGCTTTGGCCATTTGTAAACCAACCAAAATCGGATGACCTGACCATTGATATATAATAATATTTTATATTTTAAATATAATTTTTAATATGAAAAAGTGGGAAATCACCCATATTTCTTAGTTTAAAATGTTTTATATCATAAATTTATTTTTTAATAATTGCACTAAAATTTTTAAAATTTAAATTTAATTTTTTAGTTTAAATCTTTTGAACCAACTGACCAAACCAAAAGGTCAACCCAAACCGATACAACGTGAGTGGGTCGGTTTCACAAATGGTTAGTCGGTTTCAACTCACCAGCTCCCCAACTTGACCAAGTCAATTTGGTTGGCCAAACAGCCTACAACCGAATTGAACCAACTCATAAACACTCATAATTTCAGCTAAATCAATAGTCTCATCTCTAATAAATAACAATAGTTTAATCTCCAATAATTATTGAAAATTTATAGCAAAAACACACAATTATTGAAAATAAATTAATAATGAAAAAAATACAATAATTAGTAAGTAGTCATTAAATAATGCGATGCACATCGCACTTTGTAAAGTGAATATAAGACAATACAAATATATAAGAATATACAATTGTTTTATATTTTAATTTTTTAAATAACTAATAATTATTTATATTTTATATACTACTTTTAATAATTTTTTTGTAATATAAAAATAATAATAATTAATTTCAGTTATGATGGTTCATCAAATTGATGAAACTAACCAACTCGACCTAATTTGATTTGATTTGGTCGGTTTTCTAGTGTTCTCCGATCAGCTTCGGTTCAGTAATTTCTTAATCCAACCTATTTTTAATATTTTTTTGTAATATAAAAATAATAAAAATTAATTTCAACTAGGATGGTTTATCAAATTGATGAAACCAACCAATCCGACCGAATTTGATTTGAGTTGGTCAGTTTTCTAGTATTTTTTTTGTTAGCTTTGGTTTAGTAATTTCCCAATCTAACCTAACTTTGACCAACCCGACCTAACTTTGGCCATTTGTAAACTAACCAAAATCGAACCAACTTGACCATAGATATATATAAATATTTTATATTTTAAATATGATTTTTAATACAGAAAGTGGAAAATTTCTCATATTTCTTAATCTAAAATATTTTTTATTATAAATTTAAATTTTTTATTTTTTTATTTTTTTATTTTTTTAATAATACTGCTATAATTTTGAATTTTAAAATTAACTTTTAAGTTTAAATCTTTTGAGTCGATTGACCAAATTGATACAACCCGAGTTGCCTAATTTTTACTAACAATTGGTCAATTTCATATAGACCTATACACAGGTAGGCTCAAGCTGAGCTTTTCCTCTTTATGAACAGAAAATGACCAGGCCTAAGCCCAAGCCTAGCCAGACCATCAGGCCTAAATCTTGAACCCAAGTTCGAAGCCCAATCTAGACAAATATTTTATATTATATTAATTATACATTATTAATATTATACTATAAATTTTATATTATTCTATATATTATAATATATAATACCTTTTTCACTACTAAATTTGTTATTATATAATATATATTTTATGCATTATTAATGTATATTATATTTTTTCTATATATAAAATTATCAGGTCAGGCTTGGGATGGGCTTATTTGGAAAAGCCTGAGCCCATCCCAAAAACTAGTCAAGCCCTATGTCTAAAGCCCAAGCTTGAGCCTGTGGGCTTAAAATGTTGTCCAAGATCGATTTAGAATGGGCCGAGCCAAGCCAACCCATTGGTCTACCCGACTCATGATCATCTAGTTTCACGTGACCAACTCCCCAACCCAACCAAGTTGGTTTAGTTGGCCAAGCAACCTTCAACCAATCCAAAATGACCCATGAGCACTCCTAGTTTTAGCTAAATTAATGGTGAAGTCTCTAATAAATAGCAATAGTTTAATCTCCGATAATTATTGAGAATTTATAGCAAAAATACATAATTATTAAAAATATATTTATAATGAAAATACAACAAATAACCAATAAATATACAATGAATACAATAATTATGAAAATACAATAAATACTAAAAACATATTAATATAGTCAATAAATAGTGTAATATCCAATAATAGTTTAATCTCCAACAAATATTAATCAATAAATTATAACAAAAATATAATAAATCCAAAAAGTACAATAAATTAAATTTAAAACTTAAATAATAACATTTTTATCTCCAACAATTATTGAAATTTTTTTGTTAAATAACACAACAAAACTATATTTATACATAATTGTCAAAAATATATTTATCACAAATACAATAAACAATTACTACAAATACATACAAATATATAATAAATAGATAAATATTTCAAAAATATTATTTTTTTTAAGTTATTACATAATTTCCTTATTTAATCTATTTTTAATTAATATCAAAAATATGATTTACTTATTATTTTTTTATATTTAACATATTTAAAAATTAATTATTTACAATATTATTTAGTTAATCAAATAATGTAATTATTTATTTTTTTTAAATATTAATTATTTATTGAATTTAATAATATTAAGTTATAATTTATATTGTTATTATATAATTTTGTTATATTATTAATTCAAATATTATGAAATCTATTATAATATGTAATATTCAATATTATGTTATATAATTATTTATCTATTTTTAGAGTTTTTTATTTAAAGTATTTAGTTATTGAAATATTTAAATAATATATTTTATTTTTAAATTTTTATTATGTGAATAATATTTAAATAATTTTGTCATTTAAATTTAAAAATATTATTTAATTATTAAATTGAATAATCCATAAAAGATATTATTTTTGTGTTCATAATAAATATTTTAAATTTAATACATAATTTCATTATAATATTTAAATAATTATTAAATTTTTAATTCAAACTTTCTTTAGATAGGTATAGATCAAAAGTGGGAGAGGACAAATAGGAATTAGAGATAATTTAGGGGAAGGTGGGGGCTAGATATTATAAAACCAAATCTCCCTTGCTACATGGCTTAATGGATAGGCTAGGTAGGGAAGAAAAGGAAAGAGAGAGTGAATGAGAGAACTAGAAAGGGGTAAGGCCAATAGACCTAGCAATTGGGTTGGGTGGCTCGGGTTCGGGTTGGGTCAAGGTATTTCGGGTTGATTCGGGTTGGGTTGTCAAATGCTAGATCCTAACCCTAAATGTTCGGGTTAGGATTGACCCATGGGTCAATTCAGATCATCCCAAAAAATAATTGAAATTTAAAAAAATAAAGAAAAAATACATGAAAAATGTCATCAAAATTAAAAGAATTAACCTTAAAATTTTAAATATAAAATAAAAAACTTGAACATTTAACAACTTAAAGAGTAAACAATAGAAAGTAAAGACTAAATAGAAAAAATTAAAGAGTGGGAACTTCTAACGATGCATAAATAATCCCAATTAGACTTGACAACCGGGTCAACGGGTTGGCCTATGACGCAACCCAACCCAACCTAACCCAGTTTTTTTCGGGTCGGGTCGGTCCATTTTCACATTCGGGTAGCTACTTATGAGACCCTAACCCTGCTTTTTCGGGTTGGGTTGGGTCGGGTTCACGAGTAGGGTCAACTTTTTGCTAGGTCTAGGTAAGGGAGAAAGGAGAGAAGAGAGAAGGGGGAAAGGGAGAAGGAGAGGGCTGCCCCGTTCATTTCTATTTGTACATTTATAATTTTTTTATTTTTTTAAATATACTTACAACTATATTATATTATATTATATTATACAATATAATATATAATAATAGTTTTATATATATTATGTAATATAATATAGTCAGGGCTAGTTCAGGGTCGAAGGTGGTGTGGGGTAAACAAATACCATTCTTGTCTTATCCTCGGTCCTAGAGTTTTAGGTTTCCCCGAATCCCGATCTGTGGTGTGGGGTAAACATTTTTTTCTCCATTATTGCGATGCCATTGATTTGCATTGGGTTCCTTATCTCATTTGACAGAGGGATTATATTAGGCTCCTAAGGCTGTGT